CTGAAGTGAAATAAGGTGACTTTGGCTGTGTTTGTAGGGAAAAAAAAAAAAAAACCCACATCTCTAAGAAATCATGTATTCACTGTTCAGATCCCACACACGGGTTGCACAAAGGTATGAGTCAGAAGGAAGATCTAAAATACTGTGAGACTGAAATAAAATTAACTGGAAAAATCACTAGGGAGGAGACGGGGAACAAACATCAGTCTCATGTGAGCTGTCTGTGACAGAGCACGGCTTAGTGAAATGCGGAATCTCTGCAATTAATACACTGTTGTGACAAGAGATATCAATTATCCCTCATTGCCTCAGGAGCACATGCTATGTTCCCTCCCAGCTGTTCCCACCTGGCTACGGAGCCTGATAATACCTTCCACATCTATCTTTATTCTTCTTGGAGAATTTCCCAAAACAAAATTTTCAGTGATTGCCAAAATCGAGAAGACAACTATCCAAGTACTTTTGTTAACTAACACCAGAAGTTCTTCAGACTGAATTATTTCTGCTTGAGTTATAGAGGGGCCATAAGCTACTAATAAGGAAAACCTCCCATGGGATGTTAATAAGAATATACTTGGCCAAAATGCTATGAACCACTCATCTAAAACTTCCATTACTAAAGCAGAGAGGAAGGGAAAAGAAATAAGTCATCTAGAGTTGATCTGATTGTGATGGATTCCGTAGTGTGATCTATAAAAGCCACTTGCAACTCCTTTCTCTCTTGACTTCATTGACTGGAAAGATGAAACTATTATTTCACATTTTCTTGCGTATAGAAGTGAACTTTTAATTTTTGCCAATGTGAAGTTACTGCAGACTTCTGGAAAATTTTTACAAGGGGATCAACTTGCTTTGAGTATTTCACTGGCTATTCAACCCTTCCAAATATTTATTCCCAGCGAATAGACATGGGACTATCTTAGAATTACGATATAACACAAAGATGAAACCCACCCACAGGGAGCCCCACCCACAGCTTCAGGGCTTCCCCAAACCAAAGGCAAAGAGGAAAATGAATAGAGGCTACTTGAAGAGGCCAGGGCCACATGAATGGGAAGCACAAATATATCCATTGGGTTTTCTAGTGTTGTAGCCAAAAGATGTGATTTCACAAACTGTATTATTGACAGCTCTTCAGGGCCCTTGGAAATTGGGCTCCTCAGTATGTGAATATTGGACATTCAAGTGACATGGAAGGAAGATAACCTTCATTCTGATGACTAGCTTAGGAATATCTAATGAGCCATGGTTTGAAAAAGATAATTACCTTAGTATCCCACTGTTTAACAACTACATTATTCATTTATGCAAATGATATGACAAATCTCCCAGAATCTGAGTTTTTTTTTGTTTTTTTAAAATTTAATTTAATTTTATTAGTTCAAATTAGGAACAAGCTTGCATCACATGTCAATCCCTTCTCCCTCTCCCTCCCTTCCCCCCAACATCCAACCTGCCCCTAGCTATCCCCCCTCCACTCCCCAGGCAGGGTAAGGCCCTCGAAAGGGGATCCCCAAAGTCTACCACATCATCCTGGGCCAGGCCTAGGCCCTTCCCCATGTGTCCAGGTCTGAGATGTTTTTTAGTTGTTTTGTATATTATCCTCTCACTTTTCCATTTCTTCCTTTTTGTTTTTGATGACTATAATACACCAGCAAGCTTTAGAGTTGGAGTTAGAATTAACTTTTAACCCATGTGACCATAGAATATATGGAATCTTTCAGGTTCTAAAATGCATGATTTCAAGGGTCAAGAGCAAGGTACAATAATAACCTTCATAAACAGTTATATTTCATTCACAGACCTCCTTAACATAGAGCCTAATGCTTTATATGGTCCAATGTTATTGTGTAAAGGCTATCCTGAGAGGTATGATTGATGTTTATTGAGGCAGACAATGGGCTTATTTCACTTAAGTCATATATAATCCACTGGATTGTCCATTTGAACCAATGTCAAAGGAAGACCCTAAAGCCTCAGATCTTTCCAAAATCGAATGCACTTACAAGTTAAAGGTTTTTTCCCCAGTAGATTTTATTTATAACTCTAACACTATAATATCGTTTTTTGTTTGTTTATAAGACAGATTCGGCCATTAGGTTGAGTTTCTTGAGGGTTAGGACTGCTAAACTCCCTTGTATGACCTCTGGAATGTAAGAGATTCTCAATAAAAGTTTCTATAATAATAATAATAATAATAATAATAATAATAATAATAATAATAATAATAATAATAATAATAATAATAATAATAATAATAATAATAATAATAATAATAATAATAATAATAATAATAATAATAATAATAATAATAATAATAATAATAATAATAATAATAATAATAATAATAATAATAATAATAATAATAATAATAATAATAATAATAATAATAATAATAATAATAATAATAATAATAAAGAAATTACGAAGATTCCAGTATTACTAAACCACATAAAATCTAATTAAGTCTAAATGTGTAAACATTTGGATTATCTGTTAAAGAAAATTAATTACTTTAGGATTCACCAAGAACATGTGGTTTCCTTTCTTTACTAGGTTAAGGGATGGTAAATGGAGTGACTCTTACAAACATGGGGTATATCAAAAAAAGTAAGAGATTTTACAATGTTTCCAGTTGAAATGGGGAGTGTAAACTAGATACAAGTCAATTAAATTAATAGCTAAGTGAAGATCCCACAGAGAGCTGATTAATGGAGGTTTCAAGTAATGAATTACAAGGATTATATCTGACACTGATCAATGATCTTATCAATGACATAGATGAGTTACAGTGATTAAATATGAGAGTTACAAAACTAACCTATGAAGCATAGGTAATGTTTTGAACAAAAGAGAATATCTTTATGGATGATAACAATGAGCTAAAACTAACAAGTACATTTTGGGGGAGTTATAAGACAGGGTGTCAAAATGTAGCCCAGCTTAGATTCAAACACATGAGGTGGGAGAATCATCCCACCTCAGCATTGGACCTACTAGGATTTGGTTTGTATATCACCATGCTTGACTTTAATCCTAACAAGTATATTTTTAGCTTGGATACAAAAATATCCTCCATCCTGTCATTCTATAAAAACAAGATTCAATATTACATAGCTTGACAATTGTCCCAGAAAATTTTTTGTCAAGAGGGAATTTTAATTGAGAAAATGCTTATATAATATTGGTCTGTTGGCAAGTCTGTAGGGGTATTATCTTTACTAATGATGGGTGAGGAAGAGTCCAGCCCACTGTGGGCAGGTCCAGCCCTGGGCAGATGGTTCTGGGTTGTATAAGAAAGCAGGCTGAGCAAGCAAGGGAGAGCAAGCCAGTAAGCAGCATTCTTCCATGGCGTCTCTTTCAGTTCCTATTTTCAAGTTCTCGTCCTGACTTCCCTTCTAGATGCAAGCTGAAGTAAACTCTTTACTCAGTTTTGGTCACAGTTTACTACAACAGTAGAAAACAAACTAAAACAATAGTGCAAATGAAAAAACATAGAGGTTTTAGATAAAAGTATAACATAAGCTAGAAATTGCAGTTGATGTATAAGTTTAGGTCACATTGAAACTATAGAAGATTAAGCCAAGGGAAACAAAATGTTTTTGTTTCTGATGCACCTGAAAGATGGTTTTCAGTTGTATATACCATGATTAACATAGTGATCATGATCTCAATAGACTTAAGTGCATCCGGGAACCAACCACCAAGAGGGCTACAGGTATGGATTGAGACAGGACTAAAATACATGGAGGAGCTTATATTGAAGAAATAACTGCTCAGTGACCCTAGGGCAATGTGCTATGCTTTTGTACCCTGTTTAGGCCAGTTTTGAGAATATATATATATATATATATATATATTTGATAAAAAAGTAAGTTGTTTTTCACCATGGCATCATTTAAGGCATGGTATTAAGCCTTCATCTTATAGAGAGGTGAGAAGGCTCTGTTATTGACCAGCTTGTGGGATTCTAGGAACACACCTCATATAGAAATCCTCAGCAAGTTCTATTGCTCCCACGGCTGTCCCCTAATCTCACTCATGATGAGCATAAATGCCTCATCCTGCTGACCAAGGGCCAGTCACCCACATTTTTGCTCAGGTCTTGGGCCTTTCTATTTTATCTCTTGCCATTGATTCTTTTCTTTCTGTTTCCTCTAATAACCAGTTTCTTATACTATGAGTCATAACTCCATAAGAGGTCAGAAATGAACATAAGGGTTGCAAAAAATTTTGGCAACAGTAAAATGTCTCTGGATGCATGGTGACCACATAATCATTTCATGGTGTTTTGGCAGTACTCACCTATGTGTATCCCCCAATTTCACAGCAGTCTTGGCTCTGAACACATAAACACTTCACCCTGCACATGCCATGTACAAAGAACACTATACCTTGGCTCAGATTTGAAATTACTGTCTGTTAAGGACTACAATATTTTTAGTATACCTACATGACTATGGAAAACTCAGACTTTTAATGTTTTCCTATCATCAGTTCTCAGCATGTAAATATCAAATTCATGTATCTTTCAACTGTATTTTGTTAGAATGTTTGATTTGAAAAATTGTTGATAGAGTTGCTGACTTGTATTTCACAGAAAAAATCATTATATGAATTCTGGCCTGTGATGAGCACAGAATTTCCAACAATTTAAAAAGGGGCCCTAACCATACTTATGTCATTTTGTACTATGCACTTATGTGGTGTTCTCAGCATTGACAATTATAAAGTCAAAGTATTGATCAACTCTGAAAAACATTGAAGATGCTTTATATCCTATAGCATCAAGTATTCAGACAGGATTTAAATCTTTATGTAAAATAAACAGGCATTCATATCATTGTCATGTAAATCTGCTTCCATTTATAATGCCTGGTAAAATTATATGTAAATAATCATCTTAAAATAGACTTACTTATGATATCTTATCAATAAGTGTTTTACTTGTATATGTATTTCATTACTTATATGCTTGGGGGTCACATAAAAATCTTGGGTGCCAAAGAGTTATGAGTGGAGTTAAAGAAGCCCTGCTCTCACATACCATACTTCCTGTCACATTGACCTTCTCCTGTACTTCCCAGCAGCCCAGCTGTGGTAACTACCACTGTCTTTGTTAAGATCTATGTATCTTTTTATCACACAGCAACCCTTTATAAGAGGGATGTGCCATTTCCCTACATTCCTCAATGAACTGAGGACTGATCACCAGTCCTGGCCCTTGCTAGATGCTCTGTAAGTATTTGTTGCATTGTTTGCATGAAGCTGAAACATGACATCTTGGGAAAGTTATTTTATTGAAGTTCATGCATTAGTAATCTGGACAAGAACTGGACCTAGATCAGCACCATTCCAGGAGTCATGGTTTAACATACCATTAAACATGTTAAGAACCCAAATTGAGCCACTTTATTTTCTTTATACTGTACTAGGAAGGGAGAAGGTATGTCTATGTGGCACAGTGGGCTAAGGAAAAGAATATGATACAGAGAGGTATAGAATTAAGTCCTAGTCTGTTACATTCTATTTGTAAGCTAGCACTGAAGCACCATCCTAGATGCGACTTCAAAGACAGTCTTCCCCAGCCCACAACTCTGCTTTCTCATTACCATTAGGCTCTCTCTCTACATTCTCACCTCCCCATCAATTCCCACTATAAGTTTCCTCAGTTCCTACTAAGCTACTGATACTGTCCTCTCTAACTTAACCAATGGCTTTTAGTGTCCACATTCTCTTTGTAGGCTTCATTCTTTTGACCTTTATGGACACAATTATGATACTGGCCACAAGAGTGGGACATACATTGCTCTCCACTGTACACATGCTGACACCCAGATTTCTGGAGTCAGAGTTAGACAGCTGTAGGATGCTCTTACCACAGACTTCTAGGCAGTTAACTACCAACCAATATCTATCAGCATGTGACCTATTCACGCACACTGTTGTACTCTCTTCACTTGCCTTCCTCCACACATGCCATGTTCTGGGCACTTCTGGATTCCCTTAAATGCATGATCTTTCTAGCAACTTGATCCCTGTACATGCTTGATTATTTTGAAAGTAAAAACAGTTATCCTATTGTATCTAATTAATGCATAAGGATTCCCCCCAAAACCAGCTCCACTATTCCCTGCTTTAGGAGGCCTTTTCTACATAGCACAAACAAGAAAGAAAAGCTTTTACCTGAAATTATAGGATATCACAACTCTCCATTACCATATGTCTTGGATTTCTACTGAATAGAAAAGAACCTCTGATGGGGGAGGTCCTTCTATGTATATGTTTGTCTTATTGGTTGATAAATAAAGTACTGTTTTGGCCAATAGGGAAGCAAGATAGGTGGGACTAGGAATCGAAGAGAATTCTGGGAAAGGTAGTAAAACAGTCATTGCCATGTGATCTGGAGAAGAATGGACGCACACCACCAGCATCCTCGATAAGATAAGTCTTTATAAAACATATAGATTAAGAAATCCTAGTCATTGGCCAGCAGCATTGTAATTAATATAAGGCTCTGTGTGTTATTTCAGGCACCCATGTGGTGGCGGGCCTCAGGCAGGTTGGTGGAAAGATTTATTGTTACAAACCTCCTCTAGTCCGCATTGATATATCATGATCATCTTCCCATTGTCTATGGACCTTTTCACAGTATCTAGAACATAGTAGATGCCCAATATAAGCTTATTGAATTAAGAACGATTGAACAGATGGATGGGTAAGTGATATGCCCTTTACTTTAAAATGTGATAGGTATAGAACTCATAGTGTCTGCTTGGGGACATTGCCTGGAATACTGCCAAAAGAAAAGCTTAGATATACATGGGCCCCAGAATTTCACTGCTATAGGACAGTATGAGTGGTCATAACAGTAACCATGATGATAATAGCTACCATTATCTAGTGCTTACTATGCATCAAGGCAAAATTGCTTGCTTTAAGACTTCAAGAAAAAGGAGCGGAACAGACTTTAAGTATAATTAAAGATAAGAGCAGAATCAAGACATTTCTGGGTAAAAAGAGTTATTCTTTGATCTGCTATCCAAAAATTTAACAGCTGTCTAAAACTCTGAAGAAGGCAGATTTGGGGCATTTATTAACACAAAGAGGCTGGAGCCAAAATTAAGACTCCATTACTCATAGAGATGTCCAGGCTTGGCAGTAAATAAATAAAAAAAATTGGCAGCATTTTACAGTTGTTGTCTTTAACATTATCAAATGAGATTTCTTTCCTGGTCTAACTATATGGGTAAAAATTAACTTAGAGCCATGTGTCCACATGTGTGTTATGGTTTGGAACTAAAATGACCCCTATTGATTCAGTTTTGAAGGCTTGGTCCGAGTACAGCAGTGTTTATAGCAGGGGTCATACAGAGATGACAACTTTGTCTAGGTTAATCTGTTGATAAGGTCATAGATATTCAGAAGGGGAGCCAAGTTTGAGGAAGTAAAGGTCTGGGGGACATTTGTTATTCTTCCCCTCACTGTGTCCAAATATCTGGCAAGAAGCAGCTTAAATGGGGGAAGAGTTTATTTTGGCTAACAGTTTGAGGGTGCAGTCAGTCTATCATGATGGAGAAAGTATGAGAGCAGAAATCAAAGCATCTGGTCACATTATCAGGAAGCACAGAGCGGTAAACACTATTGTCCAGCTTGCTCCTCCTTTTTTATTTAGTATGGGATTCTGGCCCATGAAATACTTGCTGATGCCTGCTCTAGCCTGAGTCTTTCTATCTCAATTAGTCTAATATAGAGACTTCCTCATAGATATGTCCAGATTCTAGATCCTGTCAAGTTCATAATAAAGGGCACAGCATTGAAGGATTAATTACATCCCCGGTCATCTTCCAGACCTTCTCTGCTTCCTGCTGTCACTAGATGAGTAGCTTTCCCCAACACATTGTCCGCATCATGATACAGAGCCCAAAAAACAGCTTGCAGCTTGGCTGAGTGACCATGGCCTAGGACCCAGAAAACAGCACATAAACATAAACATTCCCTATTTGGGGTTTATCTCATGGATTTTTGTCACAGCAATCCAGAGTATTAAAAATATGGGTAAAATACACTTTAGGTGATAAATATTCTGGGTACAATGAGTTCTGGTTGTATAGTATTCTTGGAGACCAACAATACATATTACCATACCAGGCCTTAAAAAAGAAGAGTACACTAAAAGAAAAACCTGATTGAATTCCGCTCAAGGGTTTGGTATAAGCCTCTTCTTTCAGCATGCCTCACATTTATTCCCATGGAATTTGCATTGAGCAACACTACCTTGGGAAGATCTGAGAAATACCGTCATACACGCTGGTGTTCTATCGGATATCTGCAAAGAGGATTGCTATGGAGCCCTTTCTGACATAGAGAAAGGAAGATTGACTATGCTTTAGCCTAGAATAGACTCTAGTATAGTATTATTATTTACATGATAAAATTCAACCCTATGTGAAGGCTGGAGAGAAAAAGGCCAACTCTTAATCAATCCTTGGAATTAGCAATTTACTTATGATGGCCGTATCACCCAGTCATAGAAATTTATATTTTCATTTTGTTCTAACGAAAAACTTGACCATCTTTCTTTAATATTATCAACCTGGAAGCTTGACAGTAAGGATTAAAAATTGCTCCTCGCTTCCCACTTGGTTATTGGAAAGGTTCTGAAAGGTAATCAGTCTTGTGAAGCTACACTTTACAGTCTGCATAAAAATGCCATGATTTCCCTTCCTCTCCCCAACCTAATTGAAAGTGCATAATATCACCCAGCTGGGGAAATGTGTAAACGGTAAACATATGCAATATATCATGCTATCACACAAAAGCTGGCTACTGCTAGGGACCTGGTGGTTGTCAGAACCCTAAGAACTCTGGAAAATGAGTCTTTTTCTTGCATCTAGAATGAGAGCTTCTTGTGCCTTCCCCTTCCTAGCCTCCCCACTGATTTCAAGCAGCAGCAGGCAGATTAGAGCAAGGTCCATCAACCCATTCCTGGAACGTGGGACTCCAAGGTCACCTGACAATGTATCTGGACTGAAGCTCTTTTAGACTATCCTTTACCCGGACAGAACATTTTTCTTTGGGCAAGCTGTGCATTGGAATCATCTTGTTGCTTACTTGCTTCAGACAGAGGCTCCCAATATCTCTTTCCCTTGCTCCTAAACCTACAGGGTCACATACTATCTTTCTCTACTTCATCAGAAACCTAGGACCAAGATTATCTCATTTTCTACCTCTGCTCATCAGTGAATAGCCAGATAGTTTAGTTTTCCTTGACTATAAAAAATCCCAATCTTATTTTTCAGCGCCTCCTGCACTATGATAGCTATCTATAATTCAACTCCAGTTACACCTACTTGGAAGCCATTTTCCATTTTTCGACTCTTCACCTCCAAGTTTCATGTCATCTTCTTGAATAAGTATCTTACAATAGGACTCTTAGGACAAAAGACAATATGCTTTCAAAGTCTTCATCATTAGTTCTCTGTATTGCTGCAAAGATTGTTCCCTGTTGTACCATGCACTGTACTCTATGCCACCTTATAATTAGCTATTGTCTTATTTTTGATGACTGATACCTTACTGGTAGGTCAAAGTGGAACACTTGTCTAGGGCACCATGTCATTTTAGTTTTAGTAGATTGAAGGATACATTTTTATTTGCTTCAGCGGTAGAGATGATTTGAAACTTACTGAATAAAACTGCATTCATCTTTCACTAATATTACCTGTCAGCTAGGGCTGGAGGATGATATGGCTTGTTGACCTTGGCATAGAGGCCCTCTAAGTGGTCTCTGTCTGGAGACAGTGGACGTCCATCCCGAGGGTAAGCAAGTGGTCCAGCTCGAGGGGGAGATGGAGATCTGAAGACATTTGCTGAAGTGCATGGCTCCCGAAAGTGGTTCACTCTGGCATAATTGGGGTCCATTTCATCATCGTCCATATCATGCACTGATCCAATCCCTCCAGTGGCATAATCAAGAAGACCTCTTGCCTGCTTTTCCCTTAGCTCCTGATGTTTTGATCCAATCCTGAAAAATATAGAAGAGGTAGCATAGGCTAATGTGAATCTCAGATGCTGACACAATGAAACAATCTCTGTTAACTCTTGCTAAGCGCTTAGCTGTCACTTTCCTATGTCTTCAAGATCATGCCATGCAGAAATGCCAACAGCATAAGAGGATTAATTTTAAATCCATGACCTTTATTTGTCACAGAGCCTTCACTTTGATAGCAATGCTATAGGTATTCTGACACATCTCTGACTGATGATTGGGCTGACAGCAGTCTCTCCCAACAAAGGAGCTGTGCTTGTGACGATAGTATGCCTTGGAAGAGATGCCATGAAAGTATTTCTTGGGATAAGGCTTCATGGGAAAGAGCACATGAGAATCCTATACATTTGCTATGACTTCACTCTTCAGTACTCCTGAGTTTCAGTGTATTCTTCAAAAGAATAATTTGAAAAAAAGATTTAAATATAAAAAAGAAATATAGAGACTGTCTGGTCATTGAAAGCAGCCTAATTGAAGGTAATTTATAAGAGACTACAAGTCTTTTTTTTGTTGTTGCTACACAAATGGGGATCAGTGTGCTTCATTGTACAAGGTCTAGGCACAGAGTAAAATAATGAAGAAATTAATAGGCTTGTGACAGAGATGAATTGGCACATATAAGTGAATTAAGCTTCATTACTGGCAGAACTCCATAGCCCTAAAGCTTTAAGTGGTAGTACAGAATGTTACTGCTAGTCAGTGACAATATGTAGACTACTGGGGATGGAGCAGAAAATATATTTAGGTGTAATCTATACCCACCCAAATTGTGAGAATTTATATAGAGAGCATTAGATTGGTTCTCTTCAACTCCCACTAGTACAATTAGATAGAAAGCGCACTAGGATGTCTTACTGGACAGTGGTGATGTGGATGGTGTTGGGAGGCCCTTTAACCTTTAACTTTGAGAATGCAAGATGTAGGATATGTGGGATGAGAGAATGAGATGATCCTGACTTGTGTATCTAAAGAGATGTTCAAGGAAGGATGGAGACAAAGTTGAAGCCCAGGACTTAGAGAAGGTAAGAGGACTATAGGTAGCAGTGAAAGGTCTGTGTTTGCCTGGAGACACAGAAAGAAGCCCTGGACCAGTTATAAACAAAACCTGAAGTCCCCCAGCAACTTCTCTTCAAACAAATGCAGTTGTTTTTGTACATGGGGGCTGTTTTCATTTTCCAAAGATCAAACCCTTTGTCAAAATCTTTAGAAGCCATAATTTTTAAAGTATGTTTTTTCTTGTGATAAGACAGTGTTTGCATTTTAGGTTTTTTTTTTTTCAGTAGGAAGGAGAAATTGGGTAAGAGAAAGAAAAGGCAACAAAATAAGATGGGTAGAGGTAGCATAGGATAAAGCAGCACCTACCTCGGGGTCACAATAGATGAAATTAAATGCCAGGTTACATTATTGCATATCTATTTTGACTAAGCTAAAAATGTACCTGACATATAAATAATTGGAAGCATATAAATATATATATATATATATATATATATATATATATATTTATATTGCTTAAGGCAGTTTGAATCTCTAAGGGATGCTGAATTAAGATGAAAAGATTACACAGCAGGGTACCCATTAAAGGGCCTTGCATGTCCCCTTTCAATGCATGTTAGTCCCAGATTCATGGATGTTTGTTTTGAATAATTTTTGATATAGAAGATAGCCTGCTCCAATGAAATTTGAGACTCAGCCTAAAATGGGCATTATGCCAAGATTTATCATTTTTCAAGGGATGGTGCAGACTGGTTTATCAGAGAATGCTTTCTGTACTACAAGGATAGGCAAGCATTTCCATTGTAAATAAGGTAAAAGACACTGGGAAAGTCCAAGGGTGCAATTCAGTATGCTCCCTCTCCCTCATAAGTGTGATGCCATGAGAGAAATCAGTCAGTAGAAAGACAAATACCTCCTGGCTGACACACTTGTGTATTAATGGAAAAGGAAAATACCAAGCCTGATTTTTCTAAAATAGCAGAAATAGAAAACAGAGATCTGTGTTTCTTATTTCATCTCTCTCTTTCTTTGAGGTTTTCAAATTAGTTAAGCTTGCTAAGTGTGTAGCGATTCGTAGATGAAAAAGTTCTCTGTGTATGCCAAGCAGAGTTAGATATGGCATTTTTCTTTGCTAAAACAAAACCAATTCTTCCTCAATCTCCTCTGCACAACTGAGGATGGCAGTAACTAATTTCATATTAATCACTCAGTAGGTGAAATAGTAATTTCTCTGCACCATCATTATTATGCCATATATCAGGGTCTCTCCATGTGGGGGAGGGTGAGGCAGTCTCGAAAGAGGGTACATAAGAGCTGAGGAGACTCTCTTAAGACAAGTGTCAAGGAAAATCAGTTCATTTGTCTTGCCCTGATCCACCTCCACCCCAGGCAGTCTGAAAATTCTAATTGCTTCTACTTGGGAGTCTCCTGATCCCTGGACATTCAACTGGTTAAAATACCTGAATTTGAGAATAGCCTAACCTTTTCATTTCATGGTACCACTCATTTGCCCATCCTCCTGAGCACACTACCATTGAATTATTGAGATCTTTCTCTCGTTGAAAACAGCAGTGTCTCTCCTTCCCATTACATTTCTTGATTGTCCCCTTTATTTCCATTTCCTTGGCTATAGTGTGCAGCATTCATATTTTATATTGCCTAGATCTTCTGTTTAATGTGGTACCCATTTGCTGTGTGTGGCCCTATAAATTTAAATTTGAATTAATTAAAATAAAATAAAACTCATTTTTTTAGTCTTATAAATTCATTCAAGTGATTAATAGCTACATATAGCCAGTGGCTTCTGTGCTGACAATGAAGATGTGGATAAATTCCACAACTGCAGAAAGTTTTATTGGGTTATGTCAGTCTAACTGATTCAAAGAGATTTTGGTGTGTCACCATATCCCATTTGTTTTAGTTAGCATTTATACAGCTGTGATAAAATACCATGACCCAAAGCAATATGTGGAGAAAAGGGTTTTTGTTTTGTTTTGTTTATTCCATGTCATAGCCTAGAGTCCATCATCTAGGGAAGTCAAGGCAGGGACCTGGAGGCAGGGACTGAAACAGTGCCATGGGAAGAGTGCTGTTTACTGGCTAGCTCCTCATGGCTTGCCCAATTTGCTTTCTTATAGTACCCAAGACCATTAGCCCACAGTGATCTGAACCTTCCCATATCAAATTTCATTTAAGAAAATGGACCACAGGCTTACTCACAGACCACGTGGTGGGGGCATTTTCTCAATTAACTTTTCCTCTTCCAAAACTAGTCTAGCTTTTGTCAAGTTGACATAAAACTAGCCATCCCAACACTTTAATCTGTCCCTGAGAACACTTCTCTAACAGTCTTCCCTGCAGAGCATTTCCACTGCCTTCTCAGTCAGATTGGGGATCTCCAATGGATTATCATAGACGGGTGAGTGACAGTATGGTTAGCTCACTACTTTCACTGAAATGTTACATGATCAAAGAGTGGGGAAGAAAAATTAATCTTTAATAGAGTTAGAAGTGGTTACAATCCCACACCTTGCAATGAAATTGAGACTCAGCCTAAAATAGGGATTATGCCAAGAGCTAGTACACATTTATATTTTTAGCTGGGCACATATTTCCCTGAAGTAAGGAAGAAAGTCTGTAGAAGCATAGTCAGCATGACTTTACTTAGTAAAAGAGAGCTTGAGGACAGAAAAGGACCTGGGTTTGTGTCTTGGTGAGGACCCAAACGGGGAGTAACAGCTTGGGAGAGTTGAATGCTCTGTGAATTGTCTCCTGTCTATGAAGAAACTTCATAGAGACAAAGTAGGAATTAAATGAAATGGTAAGGATGGTGAAAGAGCAAAGATAAATCCCAACTCATCAAAACCAAACCAAGCACCAAGGCAGCCTCATCTAGGAGCAGGTTCATCTGATGTCAAATAATCTGCCCTCCCGAATTGAAGACCCTCGAAAGCAATCTCCCAGGACAGTGACACAGTGAAGTGGGAAAGGAAATTATTTTAAGAAAACACTTAGCATTGAAGCTACTGGTGACCTTACATTATTATTCTTGTGTCACTGGAAATGATGTTTCAGCAAACATTCTAATTTAAATTTCAAACATTTGTAAATTATGAAATATATTTAATTAGTGACAGAAATTTTCTTCCAGAAAATACACACCCCTCCAAGGTTACACAGCCATCTAAAACAGTGGCACTAGCAGGAAACAATATTCCCAGCATCATGGTATTCCTATTCTAAGAGGAAGTTATATGGAGGCATTTGCATGTAGTTATATGTGATACTTTTAATTTATACAATGACATTCCTGCATGCAATTGTTTGGCAGGGTATAGGGAAAAGTCATAATGTAGCTGTTTTTAGAAATGCCTTTTAACGCAACCTTTCTACATTATGTGTTTTAGAATTTTTATATATATTTAAGTTAATTATCTCAGTTATAACAAATTATTGTTCACTGAAGTTGTGTTTGGTTCCTTTAGCTCAACTACTGCTACCAAAAGTACTCAATTTCCATTAGTCAATCAATTTCCATTAGTTAAAGACCTTTAATCTTTAGTAGAGGACTAAGCTTGTCAATCAAAGCCTCACAGTGGCCTTACTGTTTTGTCTTTTCTACAATATGCAGGTTCAGTAAACTCTGCATTTATCTGAAATATACAGTTATGAAGTTCTTTAAATCCATTGATTTCTGTGTAAATTTCTGTACATTTGTTTCATTTCATAATAAAAGTCGAAAGTTGCAAATGGGAACAAATGCAATGCAATAGCAATTACCAGGTCCAATTTTGTAAGCATTAGACACATTTGTATTATATAAGCCTTGTAAAATTTGCTCACAACTGTTACTAAATGGCTTCCTTTTGGAGAGGAGTGGTGGGTGGATTACACAAACCAGTCTGCTTCCATGTGTTGTGTTTATACCCTAGCATGCCCTTTGTTCTGACTGGAGAACATCACCCTGTTTCCACATGTTG